AAGATATTTTGCCTTAAATTTTAAAAAATGTATATTACATCCATCCTGCTCATCTAATTGTAAATTTCAAGTTATATCACATTCATTTCACAAAGCCACAAATACTACTTCCCACGCTACCATAAAGCAAACAGCAAAAAAGAATAACTAATAGTATAATTCAAAAATAATGAATTTTAAAACATAGTGTAAAGTTTCTTTGGACTCATCTCCTTCCCAGTTTGACCATGTTATCATTTATCTAAAGTACAAAAATTGACCAGGGCATAAAAGTGACCAGGGCAAGTTTTTAACAACAGTTTCAAAGCAAGTATCAGTAGCTTAAGAAAACTCAATTAACTGCCTAAAAAAGAGACTGAAACTGCAAGTGAATGTTGAACTATAAACTAGAAAATATAGGCTCCCGATGTACAGTACGCTAATAATCTATCAGCAATATCTATATAAAATATATTCAACTTCCAGAAACAACTAAAAGTAGTTAAGAAAAAGTATTTTCCATTAATAGTCTCAACTCTGGCCTTTTCAAAATATTATATCTTCTCAGGCAGGCTCAGTGGCTCAGCCTGTAATCCCGCGCCTTTGGGAGGCTGAGGTGAGTGGATGGCCTGAGCCCGCGGGTTCCGTGACCCGCCTGGGCCGCGAGAGCTCATCTCTACAATAAATCAAAAAATCAGCCGGGCGTGGCAGCGCGCGCCTGTAATTCCGGCTACTCGGAAGGCGGAGGCGGAAGGATCGCCGGAGCCCAGCAGTCTGGGCGACAGAGTGAGACTCCTACTCAAAAAAAGAAAGTTCTATCTTCTCAAATGTACAGGATTGAAGAAATGTTTGAATAAGTAATGCAATCCACAAAACGAAAAGTACCAAATTAAAATGCATTATCTTTTCACTAAACTTTCAAAAACCTACAGGTACTATGACAACTCTTAAAAAGATATGGCCCCAGCATGGAAGGGCTTGTGGGTAAGCGCAAAAACTGGGAGTCAGGACTGGGGTTCAAAAAGATATAGCCCCATATCCAAGCGCATGGATCTCAAATACCAAGTACAGCTGTAACCCTAAAATGCCACTTAGAAAAAACGTTTGCCTTACTAGTGAGCTCCGACCCCAAGTATACTGAATTAGTCCCCCAGCACTAGAATTGCTAAGAGCTTATCACCTAGAACATCTACACATGATAAAGACCTAAGAGACATCATTTTTAATTAAAACGTATGCAGAGTGTATCCCGAGGTATCGCTTTATCAGTGCCAAACACAACTGTACATTCCAAGCTTTCCATTCTAGTAAACGCAAGTTTGAAAATTCGCTTTATTATGTAATAACGGCAAACATGATTAAACCGCCCGGTCCTGGGACCTCGTTTCCAGGAAAACTAGAAAAAGACATCGTACGTGTTAACATTTCAAAAGCGTAAGACTCGACGTTCGTAGCTGGGCACATCTCTGCCATCGTCAGATTGCTACACCTTCAGCGTCAACAGCTGATTTCCAGGTCTGTGCTCACTGGCAGCCAGACATGGCCCTCGGCACGGGAGCGGAGGGGCCCGCCCATCTAAGGACCCATTTGCTCGTCAATTAGCTTTCCTCCGGCTCTGTGCTTTTGTCGGCTCTGCCGTCTTTCCACTTAAACGAGAGCAGACAGCAGCCTTCGGTCAGGTGAGCGACCCC